CTCTTATCTTTAGACTATTGCCGACTCATTCAGAAAAAAAACTTACAAAGCAGACAAAATACTTTTCATAAGGCAGATAAACCCACACCTAGGATACAGCATCCTCTGTAGGGAGAGAGAGATAGTGAGTGTGTGTGTGTGTGTCCAAAGGCTGGGGGGGCAGACAGAGACTTGTCCATGCACTTGCACTAAGTCTTAAACTCTGAGACTGCACCGCACATTGTAAAGTAGAAAGCAAGTAGGTTGTGGGGCGCTCCAGGCTGGCATCTTGGAATCTGGAGGCCCGACCAGGGCAGTCAGGGCTCCATTGCAGGAACAGCGAAGGCCCCAGACTTGGCTTCCCTTTCAAAGCCCCCATTTGGGACAGTCAGGTCCTGCCATTTGCAGCTAACAGTGCTGCCCCGAACCTGGGAGGGGGTGGTACCCAAGCTACCCAGGGTCCCTAGGTGCCCTCAGGTCTCTGGGTATCTCTGACGTCCTGACTCTTATCCACCTGACAGATTGGCCCATTGGTTCTGAGAGAGTTGGGGAACACCCCGTGACCCCGGTAGGCAAGTTCTAGGGACTGTGAGGAGGGGAGGGAGAGAGTGCTTGGAGCTTAGCCCTTTTCCAAAATAAATACAATTCACTGCCATCAGGTCAATGCTGACTCATAGTAACCCTTTAGGACTGGGTAGGGTCGCCCCTGTGGGTTTAAGAGACTATTTACAGACACAGAAAACCCCTCCTTTCTAGGAGAGACTAATGGTTCAGAACTTATGACCTTGTGGATTGCAGCCCAACACATCACCATTACACCACCAGGGCCCTTTTCCAGGCTCCCTTTAAAGGCACAGTCTAAAAACTGCTTGCTTGGCAAACATAACTTCGTCCTGGATCCTTGCTCCTGAGGGATCCTTTCAGCCTTGAGCTCCCGAGAAGTAGGCAAGTGTCAAGAGCCGGGGTGCAGCAGCAAGGCCTGGTGCTCCTTTATTAAGCCGTGATCTCGGGAGCAGCAGGACTGCTGCATTCGTCTCGGCCGCCCGATGGAACGCCCAGGTTACAGCCCATCAGTCGCAGGGATTGGCCAGCTCCTGGTGCAAAGATGGGGGCGGTGGGTGGCATGGGGAGGGAGCTTTGAGGGACCCAGTCCAAACGGCCAGCAGCAGGCTGGCCGCTGAGCCAGCAAAGCTGCTGCCAGGCGGAGGGAGGAAGGAGGTGAAGGTCTTGTGCTGGGCTGCGGCTGCGCTGGTGTGGGCAGCAGAGGGAGCACGGAGTGGCGCCTCCCCCTGCCACTAGGCTCCAGGCCGCTGGGCTTAGCTGGACACTTTCTTCTGGTCCTGCAGGGAGCGGAACAGCTGCCTCAGCTGCTTTTTCCGATCGTTGATGCAGCCTGGAAGGGAAGTGGGGTGTTGGCTGGGCCAGCTGTCCTGGATGAGAACAGGGGCCAGGGGGCTGCAGCCACGGGTGGCTGGTGGTCTGCATCCGTGGTCCCCAAGCAGGCGGTTGACTTCTGTGGGCCCCAGTGTTCTCGTGTGTCGACTGGGTACATGATGCCCGCCTTCGGGACAGGGTGCAAAACCCAAACCAAACTCACTGCCATCGAGTCGATGCCAACCCACAGCGGCCCTGGAGGACAGGGGAGAGCCACCCGTGAGTTTCCCAGTGACGTTCACAGGTGCAGAAAGCCCTGTCTTTCTCCCCCAGAGCGGCTGGTGGTTTCAACCTGCTGACCTTGCAGTTTGCAGCCTCATTCCTAACCACTACCCCACCAGGGCTCCTTGGACAGGATGCAAGGATCAGCCCGGGCTGCCCAAGGTGCTAGACATGAATTCAACTCTTGCATCTTCATACACAGGTGTGGGTGGTACAGACACCCCATGTGACAGGAAAGGACACTGCGACTCAGAGAGCTTCACCCCCCCAAGTCGCACACGAAGGAGTGCACTGGGATTTGAACGCAGGCCCAAGCGCTTAACTACTTCCCTGGCACTGCTTTTCTTCACTGTTTTGCTCAGCAAAATGCATTTTGAACCAGCGCAGCGCGGGGACCTCACAGTTGCTCAGTAAACAGTCTTCCCCGTGTGCGACGCATGCTCTGCTAATAGAAGACTTGGGTGCAGGTGGACCAGGGTCTCGGGGCAACATGCCAGGTGGTCCACACAGAGCTGCCACCCAGGATGGCACCTGGTTCCCTGCTTCCGGTTTGCTCTTGGAGCTGAGCCTGGAGGCCACTCCAGGGGCCATTTGACCTTGTCCCAAGTGAGAGAGCATTCGCGGAGGTAGTCTTGAGTGCTGGTGGAATGAATGAATGGGCCCTATGACTACATGGACTGACTGGAGTGCCATCGCTTTTTAGAACATCAAAATCTCCCAGCTGCCTTGTGGGTACACACTCCCCACCCATCAGAGTTTTCCTGGGCTGAGAGTCACCGTGTAACCATGGGCGACCAGTGTCACGACCAAGGGGATCTCCACGTGGCAGGGCGCAGAGAGGCCAGAGGGGGTCCCTGCTGGCTTGCCCTGACCAAGATTTCCTGTGGCCAAGACAAATCATCCCAATTCACATCAACCCCTGCAAGGATGGGTTGCTTCCTTGCCTTAGGGGGCAAAAAAAAAAGAGCCACCACATACAAAATGTAAAAAGCAAATGACAAACTCAGGAAAATGTTTACAGAAAGCTTGAAAAGGGTAATAGCTTTAACATATTACAGTCCATAGCCTTTACAGATCTGGGGGAAACGAGTAAACATCCCACCCACCCCACCAAACAAGACGGATACGGAGTGTGGATGGCTGTAAGAGAAGACGTGCAAACGCAGGGGATGAAACCCACACTTCTCAGCAACCAGTCACGCACGTCAAGCCACGAGTCAGCACTTGCACCCGCCAAGCTGGCAAACTTTCTGTTTTACTCCCTTTAATTCTAAGCTGGCGAATTAGTGTGCTCTTTCTGGAGCGCAATTTGGCTGCACTAAGTGCACCCCTGTGACCCAGGCGTTCTCTAGGAATCTGTCCTAAGGGAACCACTACACTTTCCTTCTGTCGGGATGGCACTGTGGCAGTATCGAGAAGGAGTGAAACACTGGGATTGTTTCTAGGGTCCCATGATAAAGAAATCAGGTTGGAAAATTCTGACCTGAGGAAGACAAAAATCCTTACAATGGGATTAAGAACCAACATCGTGATACATGGTGAAGAAATTGACATTGTCAAGGATTTAATTCTTCGGGACCAGCTACCAATGACCGTGGCAGTGGCAGAAATCACACCATATATTGCATCCGGAAAATCTGCTACAAAAGACCTCCAGAAAGTGTTAAAGGGCAGAGATGTTACTTTGAAGACTGGTGAGCCCACCACGCCATGGTACATTCAGTCGCCTCACATGCATGGGGAAGCTGGACAGGGGCAAGGAAGACCAGAGAATGGATACATGCGAATGGTGAGGGCGGTGAAGAACGTGGACTGTCCCATGGACCGCCAGACCAGAAAACAAACAAAACCAAGCTCACTGCCTGTCAAATCAATTCCAACTCAGAGTGACTCTATAGGACAGGGTAGAATGAGCCTGGTGGGTCTGAGACCGGCCTTCTTCGCAGGAGTAGAAAGGCTCATCTTTCTCCCGCGGAGCAGCTGGGGGTTTTGAACTGCTAACCTTTCAGTTATCAACCCACGACGCCACCAGCAAATCCGCCAGAATGCTCTTTAGAGGTGAGGATGGTGAGGCTCGATCTCAAGTACTCTGGCTATGTCATCAGAAAGGGCCCATCGCTGGAGGACGCCGTGCTTGGTAGCAAAGTTGAGGGTCAGTGGACAAAAGGAAGACCCTCAGTCAGGTCACTGACCGGCGGCTGCCACGCTGGGCTCAAACGTGGTTTGGAAGGACGGCACGTGACAGGGCAGTGCTGTATTCTGTTACTTGTGTGTACAGTTGCCAAGAGGCGGCGCGAATGCAAAAGTACCGGACAACGAGCACAACAACCGTGGCGGGAACCCGTGCAGCAGCGTGACCATTCTGTGTGGCTCGAGCAAGGGAGGAAGAGCCGAGGAGTTAAGCGTTCAAGTCTTAGAGCCAGATGTGAGTTCAGACTTCTGGTTCATCACTTGAAACAGCCCTTCGGCAAGTGACATCATGTGCCGAGCCCATTTCCTCATCCGCAAAAAGGCAGGAGAAGCTGCCTGGAGATGAGCTAGTGTAATAGTGATGTGGGCCAGCTGGCCAAATGGTGCGTCCCAAATGTAGCTTCTGATCGACAGTGTGGAATGACACGGGAAAACAGTCCTCGGAAAAGTGGGACCCAAAACTCTAGCCAAGACCAATGTTGTAAAAGAAAAAGCATCGAACTATGCACTTAAAAAAAAACTGGGAAGAAATACACCAGCTTGTTCCGCCTGGTTATGTCTGGGTGGTTTCTAATTCCCTCCTTTAGTTTTCAAATAGCCTACAAGGAGTGGGAATTCTTTTTATAATCGGGGAAATTCCACGGTTTCAAAACCAGGCTTCAAGTCGAGCCCTGAAGTCCTTACGTTCTCCAAACATATTATGGGTCTTTCTTCTGGGCTCTTTTCCACTTGAGTCTCTTAAATGCCACCTTCCCTTGCAGCTGCCGGAGGGATCATCTCTGCATCCCGGGCTCTCTTCCAGGCATATACTGAGATCACAGTAGCACCTGTCGCAGTCCAGTGAACTCTGACTCGCGGCGACCTCATGTGTGTTCGAATAAGACCTTGTTTCACAGGGCTGTCAGTGGGTGGTTTTCAAAAGTGGACTGCCAGGGCTTTCCTCTGAGGCACCTTAGAAATGGACTTGAAATCTCCAACCTTGCAGTTAGCAGCTGAGCACGTTAGCCAGTTACATCCCCTAGGGACTCCCTATAGATGGAGCCCTAGTAGCGTAGTGGGTTATGTGCTGGGCTGCTAACGGCAAGGTCAGCAGTTCGAAACCAGCAGCTGCTCCTGTGAGAAAGACAAGGCTTTCTACTGTCAAGAGTTACGGGGTCGGAAACCCACTGGGGCAGTTCTACTCTGTTCTGTTGACTGGACGGCAGTGTGAGACCATGACAGTGAGACAGGAACTCATCTCTGTCTCACAGATGAGGAAGCTGAACCACAGAGAGGCTAAGTACGTTGCCGAGGTCACACAGCTGGTGCACAGCAGATTGAATATAGTCGAACCAGCGCGAAGGCGGTTTCCTAAACTCGCAGGCACCTCTATGACACACGCCCAGCATCTGCTCCCTCCCTAGCCCCACATACCTAGGTGTGTATTGGTCACAAAGTTCCCTGGCAGGTCAGGGGTCCCCTCTTCTCTGCTGACAGGACCGTCATTCCACATGAGGTCAAAGCCCCCAACTCGCTTCTCCCTTCCTGTGAGCCTGGATAGGTTGGAGGGGGGAGAAGAGTTAACGAATGTACATCGGGGGTGGGTGGGTCCCTAGGCTCACGACAGGTCCTTTCCTCACTCTAACTTTACCAACCATGCCCAAATTCCTTTTGTGCACTCACTCACTGCACATTTCCCTGGTGCCCACATAGGGTCTCAGGGGGTGGGGTGGGTGAGTGGTGGTTCTCTAGCTGTGTCCCCAAGGCTTCCATACTTGCCCTTGGTAACATGCACCTACTTGTGATTTGGGGATTCAAGGCCAATTTCCTCCCGAGACAAGATGCTGTGAGTCCCGGGCCAGGCACTGGCCAGGCTCAAATGTTTGAGGAATGCTCTCTGCCTGCTCAGCGCCCATGCCACCTTCCTTCGGCTTTTCCTTTGAGAACCCTCTTCTTCCCCACTCTCACCCCCAGTCTGCAGGGCTTGGGTGGGGTTCGCCCCCACACCGACTGGGTCACAGTGATTGGTTCAGAGATGGGCGTGTGACCCAGTCCCCACCAATGAGAGGCAGCCCTGGTACTTTTGCTGGAATGATTGGGATAAAGTAAAAACAGGGAAAAGAAATGAAGAGAGACAACAAAAGATGGAGACAGACAGACAGACAGGCAGGCAGAGCACATAAGCCAGCCATCGTCAATTGAGCACCTGGATCAAGCCATTCCTGAAGGTAGACCCTGGATTTTACCACTCTGTGAGTCAATAAATCCTTTTGCCCTCCTTGGCGTAAGCCGCTTAGAGGTGAGTTTCTGTCGTTTGCCACTGAAACTGTCCTGACATCTATCGGATGCGGCGGTGGTGGATCTGACACAGACTCTGCTTCTCCAAGATGAGCTGCCAGCTCCCCGACCCCAACAACAAACGTGTAGTGAGCACTTCCTGGGAGTGAGGTGTTTCACCATGTGTTCTCTTGCTAGCAGCCCATGAGGTAGACAGTGCATCCCATTTTACAGATGAGGAAACTGAGGCTCCGACAGGCAAAGTGACCAGCCCACTGTCCCCAGGTCAAGGACATTCTACTGGATGGAGTCTCAGAAAGTACAGCTGCCTGGCCTTTGCCCTGTGTGGACATTATCAGCTCCTCCATCTGCAAAATGGGTCAGGGCCACCCCCACGGGGCCAAGGCTCTCTCAAGCACCGAGGTGCAGTGATCTCTCCCCACTCACCTGGCCTCCATGTCCACGACGTTCAGGGTGTCTTCCAGGAGGCACGTCTTTAGCTCATAGTCCTCCTGACTGCTGGCCGTCAGCGACGGCGACGCATTGACCTCCAGGAGCCACCTGGGAAAGGAGGGCGAGAACAGCCTGAGGGTTACCTAGTCCCTAAGCCCCTGGGACTCCAAACCCAAACCCAAACTCAACCCAAACTCTGCCATCGAGCCGATTCCGATTCATGGCGGCCCTGTAGGACAGGGGAGAACTGCCCGTGCGCTTCCGAGACGGCAACTCTTTGTGGGAGGAAAGAGCCTCATCTGTCTTCTGTGGAGCAGCTGGTGGTTTCAAACAGTTGACCATTGCGGTTCGCAGCCCAGTGCTTAGCCAGGTCGCCGCCAGGGCTCCCCCTGGGATGCCGCTGAGTCTGCATTCCACTGGCGGGCCCCCCCTGCTTCCTTCTGATTTCAAGAAAGGCTCCCGTGGCTAAAACTTTTGGAAACCCTTTGACATAAACTCCAAGCCCTCACAGGGGCTGGGCAGACAACTTAATGAGGGAAGATGGGGCCGTGCGGGACTGGTTATGGGAGGGGGATGTCATGTTCTTCCCCCGTGTTCTTCCCTCTTCCCATAGAGACGGGAACACACGGACCACTTCTCTTTGCTCTTCGTTTCACTGTAAGACGGACAACGGCCAAAGTTTTCCGACATGACAGCCCGCCTGCCTGGTCAGGGAATGAGGGCACTGTAAGGAAGGGTGGCGACCGTGGGGAACTGGCACGGGCACGCCACGTCTCCAGGGGTGACTAGGAGCAGCTCTGGCAGAGTGTTGCCCTGGGGAGGTGTGAGCCCAGAGGACCCAGAGTGTCTCTGGACTTTTTCCCAAAAAGCCAAGCTTCAGGGTCTTGAGTGAACATCTTCCAAGTGTTAAGAGCTGGTCAGTGAGCTTAAAGTAAACACAGATGCATTCTGAGGGCCGAAACCAAAGCGTCTGCAGATGAAGGAAAACAGCCTCCGGGCTGCCACTTTGCCCTGTCTAGCTTTGTGGGACGCCTCCCTCTACAGGCAGGACCTGAGCACAGAGCATGAGGCCCACGGAGCAGGTCACTGGGAGCCCAGGGTTCCCAGGGTGGCTTTCCATGATACGCTGCCTCCTCGCGAGTGAGCCTGCCCATCTGTGTGGGCTCTAATGCCCCACAACCACAGCCCACCGGGCTGGGGGACCCTGTCTCCATTCCCGCCTCAGACTGCTGCTCTTCCCAGTATCTGCAGGGAGACCTGAGGTGGGTTCCTGTGGCCAACAGTGCTGGTGGGGACAACTTGGCCCTGACTGTGCTGTGCACTCCCTCCCTGCCCACTGGGCTTCCGTACCCTATCCTGCCAGCTCAGGCCTGGGCTGCTCCTCAGCTTACCCACCTCGAGGGCACTGTGGGCTGCACCACATTCTTGGCAGGGATTGACCCGGTCACAATATTGCCTTTCACGGCACTCTGCCGCCTCAAAGCGCCAAGCTGTCCAGTGGGCGGTCCCTTGCCCAACCATTCGAGGGGGAACCCCTGGCTCGGCGGTGTTCAGGAGCAGGCCTCCTGGCCAGACTCCCTGCTCTCGGCCCTGTGGGCAGCGTCCCTCTTATTCCTTATCATAGCCCTACCAAGTACCAGGGGGTTTTAAGACGTTCGTGGGGGTAAGTCCCTTCTCTTTTCATGTTTCCACCAGTGTTCGGAGGCCTGGGCCTATAGGTGCCAGCCGTCTCCATTCTCACCCACGCACTGGCATCAGTCCAGGTCGACTCACGGAGATCCTGTAAGGCAGAGGAGAACTGCCCCTGTGGGGTTCCAAAATTGTAACTCTTCCGGGAGCAGAAAGCCGTGGTTTGAAGCTGCTGACCTCGCCGTCTGCAGGCCCAGCACGTGATCACTACACCACCTTCCCCATGGGACAGATGGACCAGAAGGCGCCCGCCCAAGGCCACACGCCGTGGTCAGTGGCTGCGCATTGACTCAAACGCGGGATGTCTGGATGCAAAGCGTGAGAGCGCTGCCCCTGGACTCTCACCCCGCACCCCCCCTACCCGGCAGCCGGCGCCCCTCTGCTCACGGCTTGAGGTCCTGGTCGATGAGGATGTCGTAGCCGTAGAGCTCGAAGCAGTGCTTGTCGCTGATGATGACCTTCTGCACGCTCTGCAGGCTCTTGACAAAGATGTTGTCCATGTTGCTGAAGAGCGTCTCCACCGCCTGCGGCCCGTGCTTGGACGCCAGGTACTGCCGGAAGCGCTGCAGCATCCACTTGCAGCCCTGAGCAAGGAGCGGCCTCCAGGAGCCCTGCCAGCCTAAGAACCGCGCTCAGCCTAGCCCAGGGACCTGGGGCCGGAGCCCTGGGTGGGGATTCTGGGTCCGTCCTCCTGGGGAAGGGCGGGGCTAGATCCTGTCGGTCCTAGGGAAATGGTGGCCCTTTTGGGAACAGA